AAAAAAATAGGGTGAAAAATTACCGTCCTGTAATGCAACTGATAATGGAATGTTTCAATTTCAGTCATATTAAGAGTTCAGCTGCCCTGTCACGGTTACCTAATTATCCGTTCAACAAATTCAAGTTATGCTTCTTTACTTGTATGAAGAAGTGTTGTTAAATAATAAGACAATATTATATGTGTGTTTTATATACATATATGTATAAGATATGATTACCCACCTTGGCACTTTTCTGTACGGCAATATAGATTCCCCGCAAACCTCTTGAAGACGTTAGCGACACTGTCGTGCTGCACGGCCTCTGGCACATTCTATCTTTATCCATCTCCGTTGTTCCTGCTTCGAAAACATCATGACAACACTACATTAGAAAGCCAGCTTGCAAGAGGCTCTGTTCTTCTCGTCACTGATCATGCGCATAGTGTTGGAAAGAGTCCGTTTAATCTGAGGTGAAGTAGGTATATAACTATAGTGTGGTATACGCGACATTATTTGGTTCCTTTGCATTGACGTCTCTGCAGCTTTGTTGTCACTATTAAAGCTCCAACTCTTGTACATGTATTTATTACGTTCAGCTGCATTATACTATAATGCACTCTGTGCTTTCAGAACAGGCTTAAGGGATGTGTTCTTTGCAGGTGAGATGTCAACAACAATGTCAACGCTTACTCCATGTGTTACAATAGTGTCATTTGCAGCCTGTTCCCAAGTCGAACTGAAGGGTGACCACATGGAGCAACAGTTGTAAAGTTTTACTCTCCTGTTTTAATGTAACATATAGAAGTGTTGTATTTATGTGACATTCCTGATTTTGTAACTTTATTATGAAGACCAAGGAAACAATATGATGCTATATATTGGAATACAAATAAAAGCTTAATCCAGTTTGTGTGTGTGTGTTGCCTTCCAGTAGTAGAAATTAGGTATACAAAATTGTGCAAATTAAGCCTGTTTTGGGTAAATAAATTAACTGATTATAGTCTGAATGTAATTAATTCCAAAGGATCTAAATGTAACAAATTAGTCAACGGCTATCCTAATTTGGACTAATACAAAAATTTACTCGCAAGAACTAATTTCGATATGTGAACTATTCATATTTCACCCAGAGGTCTAAGTATTTCTGCTTAAAATCTCTATAAACGCTCGAGAATTAACTCTCATTTGTACATGTTTGTTTACATTTGCATCAAGAATAAAATACGAGTATAATGATTCCATTCTCATTTGTATCTCCAAGTTTACATTTGCATCAATAAGTATATATATTATTCCGTTCCCAGTAACAAAAATATGAAGATAATACTCATTTTACAGGAAAAGAATCATATTTTTAAGTCAACATTTCTAAAGCAAAAATTTAAAATATTTCAATTATTTTAGACAGAAATACCATGTGTTGAGTAGTAATCATTAAACACTTACTGCAATGCTTCTTGAATTAATGTTTTTCTTAATAGCATTAGAAAAATCTTTCCATTTCGTCTTAAAATATCTGGATGCGCCCATTAGTACTGAATTCGTGAATCCCGGAGAAAGCGAGTGTAGCTCCTGTAGTGTTCATGCCGACAGAATATCTCTGAGCATACATTGGCTCCACGGAGCTGGGAATTTTCATACACGTATGTTGGTGACAATCCGTAGTTGGTAGCATGTTCTAATTCAAACCCCAGTGTACATAGGCATCATGGGTAGAAGTTTGAATGTTGTTGTTAGTGGTGTTCAGTGCGTGGTTTAGTATAAAGAATCATTAATGACAGCTTAAGTGATATTGAATTATAGAGTGTTAATTAAGAATTTATGTTAGGAGACCTAAATATTTACGTTAAATCTGAGCTCGAGATCGGAAATTGTGATTTGGACAGTGGACGGCAGCGTTCAAAGAATAAGGTTAGGGTCCTTTTGAGCGCATTCTGTATGGTTTATCATGAATATTTGAGGCCAATATGAAAGGTAACATCTCCACGACCCAAATTATTTACGCTACAGCTCTACCCATTTGGGAAATTTAAATTGGATTTCCCCTTCTGTTCACTCTTAATTGTAAAGCTGAATTTATGTGATTTCCCCGCTATTTCCCTAAGTAAATTTTTGTTGGAACTAGTATTCCACCCTTATATCGCAGCAGTTGAAATTCTGATTTTTCTGCCTGTAGTTAATAAACGATAATATATTTTGAAGGTTTAAATTATGGACTTATTCTGTACGTTTTCAAGAGACCTGTCTGTGTCATCGATTCAGTACTGCACTGTACATATTTTCATATCTACAGATTCTGATAGTGTAGATTAATAGAGCTGAGGTGTGATTGAGATTTTTAATTAATACCATATATGGAAAATGGCGAAGTATGAGAGTATTTTACTTATTGATCAAAAATTTACAAAAAGATGGTGTTTTAAATGGAACACTGAATGCTGCTATTTTTTATGCTCATTATGAATTCCTGCATAAGATTTTATACAATTCATGCAAGACTGGGAATAGTGTTGTATTGCATGAGTGTCATTCTCATTTACACCAAAGTAGAACACTGATATGTTCATGTGTAGAGAGTGGTTATTTGGGACTTTTACATGTTTAATAAGAACATAACAGTAACAGAAACAGTACTTAAAATCTATTCTAACTGGTTATCAAATTGTATGTTCCCACACACTTACATTATACTGATGTGTGGTCTGCAAAGAAATAGTTGCGGGATGATATGCATGAGCTCCTAATGGTGGCAAGACTAGAAGAATGTGTTCAGTAAATCATAATGCAATGAAGAGAGTTTCTTTCTGTAAATACCATTGTGTATATTATATCTGATAGCCGTATTTTGTTTTATGTAATCTTATTTAGCACCATCAGGCTTGTATGAGGATTAATCTAAAGTTGAAGTTTGTGGATGTGAAATTAAGAAGTCCTACTTACATCTGAACAGAAACTCATGTACAGTTTTCTTTCTCTGTTGTGTGAACAGGAACCAATATACACTTTTGTATGTCTGCTTATCACTGCTTTTAACAACATCTTTATGTTTATGATGAGCTATTAATTCTTCACAGCTTAAACGCTTTGAATGCTTCGGTATTAACTATCATTTCCAACCCTGGCACATGAAAGTGTTTATATCTTCTTCCTGTTGTTCAATGACCTCTGAAGGAAAGTGAAGTAACTTTTTGAAAATTTGATAGATCATATAATGCATATAGAATTTGAGGTTCACATTGGTGCATGCAGTTGCATAGTTCAGTTGCCAATGATGTCATTGGATTTTTAATTGACCTAATCCTTTCAGCTGCACTGTGGCCTTGGGGTTGACTCAGCCTATAACAGGAATGAGCACCAGGAAACTTTCTGGGGGTAAAGGGTGATCAGCACATAAGGCTGACAACCTCACTGACATCTGTGAGCTGACATGGTTGCGGAGCCGTTACTTAACAACGGATGTTGAATATTTGTTTATGTCATGGTCATTGCCCTAGCAACAGGTCTACATGTCACATTGCTCATTCCTTAAGGCTGTTTGTCACAAATTTAGTACAAATAGCCTACAGGCATAATGGCATCCCCTTTTCTCCGAAGGATGCTTTTTTGTGTGTGTGTGTGGGGGGGNCCCCTCCACAATGTTCAATCACTTCCTATAATCCAATTGATGTGGTGATATTTGAAGATTTGTTTCTGTACAGTGTGTTGCCATTACTCAGAAAGCAAAGAGGTGTGAAAGTTGTTACTGGCAACAACCTGTCTTCACATACTAATGTTTTAGTACCTCAGTCCTGTCAAGAAAATGAAATCTGGTTTGTTCTGTTGTGCTCCTGGTTCCATTGATCTTACACAGTCACTGGATGTAGCAATATGGTGGAGCATACTGAAAACCTGGGAAGGAACATCAGAAAGTACCAGGTGTGGGATATTGCAAAAAGATGTATTTCTGTCTCTTGAAGCAGCTAATGACCAAACTTTTGGAATACAGGAGTGAAAATTTGGTTTCAGAATTCCAGAAATGTTCAGTTTTTCCACTTTGAGAAGCAACAGCTTCCGAAATGTATACTAAGAAAGGTATGAATTTGGATATATTTGGCAGTACTCTCATCTGGCATATGGTGAAAGAAGCAAATGATGCAGTGCAAAAAGCTAAATGATTCTCCAGACAAGAGCATCTGCCCAGGCTTGAACGCCTGTTGGTCTTGCCATTCCATCTGGCAATGAAGATTCCTCTAAAAAATGAGGAAGACCAAATAAAGTCACTGTGTCATCATTGGATACAAGTTCATGTATTGATGACCTCAGCATTCATGATAACAGTGCCAAGGATGATGGAAGTAATTTTGAAGAATTTTGAAGAAACCTACAAAGTTGTGAAAGTCAGAGTCTGGAAGAAGCTTTGAAGAAACGGGACTTTGTCATCATTGAGTACAACAAGCAGTTATATCCTGAGCTTATGGTGAGACAGCCATCTAATAGAGAGAGGGATCCAACAGTTTACTGTTGGAAATGTCCAGCAAGAAGAGATGTTTTGGTTTACAGTTGGTGTGACACGAAAGAAAAAATTAATTCACCAAAATAGCTTAGTGGAAGAAGTTGATTTTCTGTGCCAGAGTTGAGTGGTATTGTTTAGTTTTAAATTTGCGTCTTACACAGTAGGATACTGAGTGTCATAATACTTGTTTGTTTAAGCGTGTTCACTGTTATCTGAGCCCACAAGCTAACAATGAGTCCATGACAACAGAATGATTGTGAATACTCTTGAAAATGTTGTGATCATTTCTAAATAAGATGATTTAGTGTCCAGTAGGCCGCGCCATAGCTCAAGCGGTTAGTCACTGGCATCCCACTGTGGCGGCCCTGGTTCGATCCCGGGTCTGGTGAAGTGGGATTTGTGGTGGACAAAGTGGCACTGGGGCAGGTTTTCTCTGAGTACTTCGGTTTCCCCTGCCAGTCTCCATCATCATAATCACCGGGGGCAGGCTACAATAGGCCAATCAGTGGCCGCCATGCTGAGTGGACGCAGTTTGACTCCACCCCCAACTAAGCAAGTTGAAAAAACAATTGTGTCCAATAACCAGCAGAACCCACATTTTAATCACTGTAATGTGACCATACATACAAGTCTTTCATATTAAATTTATAGATATTCATGACCTATTTTCATTCAAACATCTTCAGAGCCACTTTTAGCAGGTTCCTCCAAAGCCCTGAGAAATAAGAACTCATGTCACAGCAAAGACAGTTCTTAACTGTGGTAGTGAGGGCTGATATTTTAGTAAAGGTTTTTGAAGGACTAGAATCATAGTAAATGAGGCATCTGTGATCTTTAGTTGGTATTGCAAAACTACATCATTAACAAAGTACAGACTTCAGAATGAAATGAAATGTTTCAAGTGTTAATGATGAAATTGAAGACTGTCAAATGATATCATTACAGCATAAATACAGAATGAAGATGAAAATATAATGCCAAAGAAGGCACTGGAATACAAACCTCTGAGGTAAAGAAATCCAAGATTTCTGATGAAGTGTGAGTGGAGTAACTACAACCATAGGGTTTAGAAACAGCCAATTGAGTGTAATTCATGGTGAAGCTGTCATAGGTCAGAAGATATTAAAAAAGTGTCACAGGTTAGGAATAAGGAAGATCTATTCTATGAGGTAATGTTGGGGGCAGAATTGGTTGGGAAAATATAAATGTGTTTCAATAATTAGTACTCAGGCCGTATAAAAACGTGTTACACTTTATACAACTTACACAAAATATGTACAATTATGTTGTGTCTCTTGATAGATACATGAATTTTTAAAGATGTTGGCATCACATTTAAAGACCCTCACCAAATGTCAAAATTTCAATATTCAGTACATCCAGCCATGAAATATTTTTTCATATTTTATAATTTTCTGCAAATAACTGATTATGTACAATAGTAGGAATGTTTGTGCTCTCCATTTTGATCAAAATAACACATCACTTTATTGAAATTAAATTTCTTGATGCAGTTTCTGCTGTCGACACCTTGCTGAATGAACTGAAACTATGCAACACTTTTGATGCATACTGTGCTATCTGCGGCACCATTTTCATTGCTCTTCATAATATTCTGAGATTGGCCTGATTGAGCAGTGTGTAGTATGTCTGAGGTTGAGTTCCAGAAGTGCGAACTAGAAGGATGGATGGTATACTGGGGACATATGACACACAGAAAGGAAATTATGCTGCATAAGATATTTACAGAAAATGTTATCTTTTACAAAAGTGGCTATGCATTGAAAATAACTGCAGGAATGCTGTATGTTGAGAGAGACAGTGTCTCTTCACATAAATGAAGGTACATTTTAAGGAAACAGGCTTCCCTAGCTTCAGTCTATTCAAAAATTAGTTTTACAGTTTTTTTCTGTATCACAATTTATTCGATTTAAGTTTCTGTTGCTGTTGTCATAACTTCTGTCTGAAATGCATTATTTCAGCAAAATTATTGGAAATTCATTGATGTTCTAAAGGTAGCTAAATACAAGAAAGTAATCCTCATTGGTCAGCCATATCAGTGAGGAATAAAATTTTGATCTTCATTACTTGTTAGAAATTTCACTAATTTCCAGTTTGTTTTGGTCATGGCATTGATGTTTCTCTTAGGAGAATTTTAGAAAGTTTGTAACAGTCAGCTCCAAAGAAGAGGTCATAGAATCATTTGACTGTTGAGTGTGTTGGATAATACAGAGCTCAGTGTAGGCCAATTTCTGAAGTTTAGGTACAAAGTGATGTAAATTATTCTTACATTGTGTGTAATTCATTTTACTTCTGTTATAATGGTTAATGGAATTTGTAGGGAAGTTTTAAAGTACCATGCTTGTCTGATAGTCGAGCAGACAACTCTTACTTCTGTTTGCATTTTGTTTGTTTCAGT